GACCTCGGTCCACTGTAGTAAATTTGTAGGAAGGAAACTGTCTCTCCCCTTATTATTAATTCAGACTCAATTTTTCAGTGTCTTCACTTTTATCCGTCAAAATCCCTCTCATAAGCAACCGGTAGGTTGTGCTGTCCTAGTCAGGAATGACCCCAGTCAAGAAGTGTAAATAGTACCAACACTGATTACGATACTCAGCTAAGTTAACATTTTACGACTGACAAATTCTTCATCACTTTCCTAAACTTTTAAACGCAAACATGTCGTTTTTCTGTGTAAACTAGTTTGAGAACATAAGCTCTTCGGAACGAGTACCTAGGAAATGATCTTGAATTAGTGAAAATATTTTAAAATGGATACGAGGACTTAAGATGAAAATACACATCTCCTAGTTTTTGTTGTAACCCAAAAGGGATGCAATTTAGTTTATAGCAAATTTATGTCGATCGTTTCATTTCATTTCGGGCTCATGTTAGCTAAACCACAATTTTTCAATAAATAACATACTCCTTTAAAAAAATGGCATTCTCGTCGTTTGTTCGCAATTTTCAGTATCTCTATACCTTAGCAACCACACGAACTTCGGTCTCTCGTTCTTTACCTTAACTATAAGTTTTCAATAAAAACAAAACCAGTAGTTAAAAAAATCGCATATTTGCGTCTAGATCGTACCATATTCACCCGACCCGTAAAAAGCGTCGCCTTGGGTGTGGGAACATCAACAGAGGACGAAGATACCTATCTTATGGCACCCGCCTTTTCTACGAAAAAACGTTCGAGAAGTTGGGATTCCTTCTAGCTCGTAAACCATGGGTTGTCCTTCTTCTGTCGCTCATGGTTGTTACTGTAAGCTGTCTAGGATTCATTCGCCTTCGCGTCGAGCATCCCTCTGTTGAACGCTTCACTGCGACTGACAGCCAGTCCAGGAAAGACTTACATCATGCAGCACAGTTCTTTCCTCTTCTTGAAGCGCGCCAAGAACAGATCATCATGGTCCCTAAACATGGCCAAGATATCCTCAGTGAAGATTGTTTGAAAGACGCCGTTCTCGTCCACCAGACCATAGAGAACATTACTGGCTATAGTGAAATATGCTCCAGGCAATTGCTTCCAGACAAACCAGAGGAACATAACTGTATCATCAGCAGTCCTCTCGAATTAGCTGGCACAAAGTTTGAAAATCTGGGGAACCTTTCTTCAATTCTGGTTGGTGAGTTGGCGAATTCCACTGTCGTTCTCTCCTCTGGCCAAACTTTCAATTCTTCCTTTAAGCGATTGTTGAGTAATTTTAAAGTTCAACGGAAAACAGATCCACCGACTGCTCGGGCCGACGCTCTTCGACTTATTTACTTCCTTAAAAAGACAACCACTAAAGAAGACGACGAATCAGTTGTGAACTTTGAAACATCTTTTGAGAGTCTCCTCTCGTCGTTGGGACGTCACTTAAAATGTGCAGAACTCGTCTTCAAGACTGGAAAAACAAGAAACGATGCATTGGAAAGCGTCTTGACAGTGGAGCTATTGCCACTTTATGTTACAGCAGTGGCAATGGCTGTTCTTATCTTTACTCTCATATTCCTTTCCTTTGATAATCTCAGTTGCCTAGCAACAGTGTTACTGATGATTTCATCTATTGTATTCCCCATGACCTGTTCTGCGGGTATCATCTCAATGACCAACACATCCCTTTTCCCAACGACACTGTTTATTCCCTTTTTTCTTGTGGGAAAAGCAGTCTCAGACACAATACTATTTCTTGTGGAATGGGAGCGGCAAAAGAAAGTGCCATCACTTGAACATCGAGTCAGCTCCTGCTTTACTAGAGCGGGACTCCTCACTGCATTTTCGGGGCTATGTGGAACTATTCTTTTTGGGATTGCGATCAAATCTCCCTTTGATGTGATTTCAGAATTTTTCGTGGCAACACTAGTAGCCTATGTATTAGTTTCATTAGCATCCTTTGCGGTAACAGTCATAGTGTTGATGTATTTTGAAAGCAGGTTGGAGAAATTGAACATTCCTTGTCTGCGATCAAGTAGAAGAAGATCTTCAATAACAAGCCTTGGAGGCTTAGAACAAGGACTCGTGCAATGCCCAAAATCGAAAATTCGACGCGTCGTGAAAGGCCTTACACGGATAACAACGTCCCTTGGTGGAAAAATTTTGTCACTTTTCATTCTTGCCTGTATCCTAGGTTTGTGTGTGTTGTCTGCTTCAAAGCCTGATGAGCGAACGGGCACCACCGAATCACTTAACCAACTTGATCATTTCAAACAGTTTAATGAGGCACAACTAAAGTACTTTGGTAAAGAAACCGATACAAGCATCGTATTCTCGGAGGATATTGACTATTCACAGAACACTGTACAGAATAAAATAATAAACCTTTGCGTGGAACTGCAAGAAGCTTCCTTCTACGAGGGGCAATCATTCTGTTGGATGGCCGCCTTTCGGCAGTGGAAACAACGTCAAAACATGACCTGCTCAAACTCAGAATTCTACCGGTGCTTAGAACTTTTCCTCGATCAAATCCACAACGGCCCCTTTCGACAAGACTTACGTCTCGAGGATACGGAGTCTCAGCCTAGAATTCTGGCATCTCGAATCCATCTCAAGATAGAACTACATAACCGATTTCGAGAAGACAGACGATCACTAGAGAAACTTAGAAAATATTTGCTGGAACAGTCTTCCCTGGAAGCAGTACCAGTCTCCGAGAAATTTTTTGATCTTGACGACCTCTTTCTGTTGGAACGAGAAGTAGTCATCATAGTTTTTATAACTGCCACGGTAGTAGTGTTCATGTTTTCTCTATTCTCAAACGCAAGTCTCGGAATTAGTCTCTTCCTGGCAGCAACATTTGATTTTCTCGTGTTAGAGGCAGCAGCTATAATGCAAGCGTGGGGAATTCATCTAAACCACATCTACTTTCTATCTCTTTTCATGACAATGGTGCAAGCCCTGAATTTCAGCAATCTGGTGGCTAATTCATTGGTATTTTCAGCAAAGTTAAAAATACGAGGTCGGATGGCCGAGGCCCTCTGCTCTGTTGGGTGGTCTGTGATAACTGAAGCATTGATAACAACATCTGGATCAGTTTCACTGGGGTTTATTTACCCAAGTCTATCTGAAGTTTTCCATCGTCTTGTCCCGCTGGTCCTTATTCTGGGGGTGACTCACGCCCTTGTTATTTTCCCGGCAATAATCGCTCTGTTCCTCCAGTTGGTGCACAGTTTTGATTCTCAAAGTGACATACATATACAACCAACTCCCAAGGAACAAACCGACGAAGTATCGTTGCAAGTACGAAATGGCGATATACATCAGCTCAGGTCTAAACGCCCTGGAATTTCAGTCGTTGGCATCAGCTGCAGATTTCCCAGAGCAAAGAGCAAGGACGAGTTTTGGCATTTACTTGAGCAAGGAAAGAGTTCGATTACTGCGTACCCCGAGAACAGACCCGAGCAACATAAGGCCTTCTTTGAGTACTACAATCCTAAGCGGTTTGTTACAGGACGCCATTCTGTTGTCAAAGGTTCCTACTTAGAAGAAATAAAATACTTTGACAACAAGTTCTTTGGTATATCCGATCAGGAAGCCCGTGGAATGGATCCTCAGCAACGAATTCTACTACAAGTTGTATATGAGGCCATTGAAGATGCTGGAATGCGACTGGAGGATCTTCAAAAGTGCAGAACAGGGGTGTTTGTCGGCGTGATGAACCTTGATCACTCAAAACTCGGATCAGATCCATCAAATTACAGCATTATGGACCAATTTGCCGCGACAGGAAGCACATTGTCTATTATCGCCAACAGGGTGTCCTTCTGTCTAAATCTGACAGGTCCAAGCTTGGTCGTTGACACGGCATGCTCTTCATCCTTAACTGCACTCAAAATCGCCTATGACAACCTGCACAATGACGAGTGCGAAATAGCCATCGTTTGCGCACCTAACATTATCCTTAGTGAGATGGTTCAGATAGCATCCAGTTTAGGTGGACTCCTTGCACCTGACGGACGTAGTAAAAGTTTTGATGCTTCCGGAGATGGCTATGGACGAGGAGAAGGTTTTGCAGCAGTTATTTTGAAGATGTCACATGCAGCTTTGAACGACAAAGATGACGAATACTGCGAGATCGTTGCCTGTGGAATGAATAGCGATGGGCAAAATGCTGTGCCAATGACCGCTCCGAGTTCAAAGATGCAAGCTGAACTATCCAGAAGGGTGCTAGAGCAGTCAGGAGTGGATCCACAAGATGTGGATTTTTTCGAGGCGCATGGCACTGGTACCGCAATTGGAGATGTGGTAGAGATTGACTCGATAGCTGATACCTACAGCAGACGAACGGCAACGTCCAAACGTAAGTTAAGGATTGGTTCTGTTAAGTCAAACCTCAATCATACAGAATCTACCTCCGGTCTTGCTGGGCTAATCAAGGTCGCTCTGATGATCAAAGAGAAGAAATATGTGCCAACTGTTGATATAAATGTGCTGAATCCCAAGCTTAAGCTGGAAGAAAACGAATTTNTAAGGCCTTCTTTGAGTACTACAATCCTAAGCGGTTTGTTACAGGACGCCATTCTGTTCTCAATGGTTCCTACTTAGAAGAAATAAAATACTTTGACAACGCGTTCTTCGGTATATCCAATCAGGAAGCCCGTGGAATGGATCCTCAGCAACGTATTCTGCTACAAGTGGTGTATGAGGCCATTGAAGATGCTGGAATGCGACTTGACGATCTTCAAAAGTGCAGAACTGGGGTGTTTGTCGGCGTGATGAATCTGGATTACTCCAAGCTCACTTCAGATCCATCAAATTACAGCATCATGGACCCGTTTGCCTCGACAGGAAGCACATTGTCTATTATCGCCAACAGGTTGTCGTTCTGTCTTAACCTAACGGGTCCAAGCCTGGTCGTAGACACGGCATGCTCTTCATCCTTAACTGCACTCAAAATAGCCTGTGACAACCTGCACAACGACGATTGCGACATAGCCATCGTTTGCGCGCCTAACATTATTCTCAGTGAGGTGTTTCAAATTTCGGCCAGCTTAGGTGGACTCCTTGCCCCTGACGGACGCAGTAAAAGTTTTGATGCTTCAGGAGATGGCTATGGAAGAGGAGAAGGTTTTGCAGCAGTTATTTTGAAGCTGTCGCATGCGGCTTTGAATGACAAAGATGACGAATATTGCGAGATCGTTGCCTGCGGAATGAATAGCGATGGGCAAAACGCTGTACCGATGACTGCTCCGAGTTCAAAGATGCAAGCTGAACTATCTAGAAGGGTTCTAGAACGGTCAGGAGTGGATCCAGAAGACGTGGATTTCTTTGAGGCGCATGGTACTGGTACCGCAATTGGAGACGTGATAGAGATTGACTCGATAGCTGATACCTACAGCAGTCGAACGGCAACGTCCAAACGTAAGTTAAGGATTGGTTCTGTTAAGTCAAACCTCAATCATACAGAATCTACTTCCGGTCTTGCTGGACTGATCAAGGTCGCTCTGATGATCAAAGAGAAAAAATATGTGCCAACTGTTAACATAAATGTGCTGAATCCCAAACTTAAGCTAGAAGAAAACGAGTTTGTAGTCCAACAAACCACTGAACCATGGATAACGGAAAAAGGAAAACCCCGAATAGCAGCCTTAAACTCGTTTTGTTTTGGCGGATCAAACGTGCACCTCATCCTTCGCGAGGTAACGTCAAAACACTGCTCAAAGGAAATGGGCGTTAATCGCTTAAATAATGTCCTCACTTTGTCAGCACGTTCAAAAGAAGCTCTACATAAGATGGCACGAACATACTCAAAATGGATCAAGAATAATGTAGAAGATATTGATGAGCGTTTTGTGGAAAGCCAATGCTATTCTTTGAATGAACGGCGCAGTCAATTCCCACATCGCTTGGCCCTTGCTTTTGGCTCTACTGTGGAAGCATCCAAGTCTCTAGCAGACTACGCCGATGACTCCGTGGGGTGGGATAAGTTGGTTTCCTACTCAGAAGTGAAATCCAATGATGGAAAGCTCGTTTTCATGTTTGGTGGCCAGGGCTCTCAGTGGTATGCGATGGGAAGACAGTTAATTGAATGTGAAGCTGTCTTCAGAGAAGCTGTTTTGACGGTGAGTAATTTACTCAATAAGCTTGGTGTAAAGTGGTCGCTGATGGAGGAGCTGATGGCGCCAGAGGACATTTCAAGAATTTCGGAGAATTACATTGCACAACCAGCCACTTTTGCTGTCCAGTACGCAACAGCAAGTCTGCTTATGTCCTGGAAAATCCATCCATCCGCCGTCATTGGTCACAGTTTAGGAGAGATTGCAGCGGCCTGTGTTGCTGGGATCATAACAGTCGAGGAAGCTGTTCAATTGGTGCTGGCCCGCTCAACTGTGCAAGAAAAATCTCCCAATAATGGTGGTATGGCGGCTCTGGGTATGTCCGAGGAAGACGCCACGGCATTACTTATCGAACTGAAGTTAAGTGCTACACTTGACATCGCCGCAGTAAATGATGCAAAGAGCGTCACAGTGTCTGGGGAAGCCCAATCAATCGAAGCATTGGGTCAACACCTTAAAATCCACGCCAAAGAAAGATACTTTCTGGCGCGTTCTTGGAACAAAGCGTGCTTTTCACAGTGCACATATGGAAACCATCAGAAAGCCTTTTCAAGCAACCATGAAACGTGTCAAGCTAAACCCGCAATTGTCGAAAATTCCTGTTTACTCTACCGTTGAGGGTGACGTTCTCTCAGGTCAGAAGTTTAACGGCGATTATTGGTGGCGCAATATTCGCTGTCCAGTCCAATTCTATCAAGTAATGAAGCACCTGATACACGATGGTTTCAAGCAGATTATTGAGATTAGCACGCAGCCTATTTTAGCCCACTATGTGAAACAGATTGCTAGTCAAGAGAATCTTAATAAGCAAGAAACTCCAGTTGTCGTTGCAACTCTTCCTCGCAAGAGAGTACCTGTCAAAGGCCAACACCGGTGCTTTCTTCAGAACACAGTTTGTAGACTGTATACAATGGGATTGCCCATAGATTGGTCTCTTGTACAGAAGAATCCATCAGCCAGGTTTGTCCGTTCCGTTAACTACCCATGGCTGGAAAAGAAATTTTGGTACAGGGAAATTCCGCTTCAAACCATAATTCCTCCAATTGGTGCTAAGGAAACCACAGAGAAGCGAGCCCATCCTTTTCTAGTACAAGTGAAAATGACCGAACTGTATTCAGGCCTACATTGCTGGGAGACTGAGATTGACCTCTATCGTTTTCCTACTTTAAAGGATCATGCTCTTATTCAGGGAGGTGCTGTGGTGCCTGGAGCTGCTTACCTGGAAATGGCCTTTGCTATGGCGAAGGACAAGTTCGTAGATGTTGCTTGCATTGAACTTACTGATGTGAAGCTTTTGAATCTTCTCACCTTGCCCGAAACGCAGGTAGATAGCATTAAGTGCGCAAAATGGAAAGAGTGTGTCGAATTTAAATATTTTTCTCGCAAAATATAAATACTACAAATGATATACCACAATTGGCTAAATTTTCTCCATGTTTTTTTAGGTTAGACAGTTACGATTACGTTTCCAAAAGGAGGACAAAATTGATAAGGCTCAGTTCTACATTACAAGCTTACAGAATGACCAGTCAGAGATTACTCTGAGCAGCGGGAACATTTCTTTGGATCTGCTGCACAGACGCGAACATTATGAAGGCAAAGGTATTACTATAGTTGAAACTTTTTCGAACACCTTGGTAAACCAACCTAAAAATTGTGCTTATATATTGCTATATATTGCTGTTGTCTTTGTTGTTTTATTATTGTTGGTATCTTTTATGTGTTATTAAAATGGTGTCATAATTGTTGTCCAGTGTAATTTTGTAGTTAAATATACTGTTGGAAAATGAAAACCTGTTAAAACCCATTTATATATTTACACCACTTGACAGGATAATCACCATAAATTGAAAACTGCTCAAAGTGTTCAAGGTATCTCTCATTAGTCTAGTCATATATTGAATCTTTTAGTCTTTTTCAATGTACATAGCTTTCGACGAGATTGGTCCAGCTTTAGAGGAGCGGTTGACAAGTATGACAAAAGTGACAACACAGCGCTTCAGCGAAACATCCAAAAAGCTGGGATTTAACTATGGACCAACTTTCTCCCTCATTAAAGAAATATGGCAGCGCGATAACGAGGGACTCTGCTTGATTGACATCAGTGAACTACCAGCTATTCAAGCAGAAGCTGAAAGTTATGTTGTCCATCCCTGCATTTTAGACGCCTGCCTTCAATCCTCTTTTATTCCCATTGGAAACTTGTTAACTGAAGATACGTCCTTGGTGCCAGTGGGTTTCAAGAGCATTACGCTGAGGGACGTGCCATCTACCAAACAGCTGTACTGCCACGTGACTGCAGATATCACCACGTTTGGAAAATTTGATGTTACCCTCATGAGTCCATCCGGAAAAGTGTTACTTAAAATAAGTGACTTTCGTGCTACAGAGTTGACTAGCACAGAACGTCCATTTTCCTTTGATGACCTTGCCTATGAAGAAGAGTGGATGGAGGTTGTTTTACAAAGGAAGAAGGAAACCACCCAAAATCCGACTTGCATTGTGCTGAAAGATTCCTCCGTCTTCTCAGATGCCTTAATCACAAGACTTCAGGCAGCTAAAGTCAATTTCGTCACAGTTGATCTGCCAAATGCTAGATGTTTCAACATCGAAGCAGAGGAAGCAATCACAGCGGCCTTTGCGGGCATACCACCTGACCAATTATCCAACCTTAGGGTCGTGAACACGTGGCCTGTGGAAACGAACCTTCTGCCGGAGAACTTGAACGTGATCGATCAATCTCAACGCCTTGCCCTGGGCAGTTCTGTCTTCTTGCTCAAACTTCTGATGGAGAAGGAGTGGTTGAGTTCTCGACTTTTCTTCGTCACCGAACGTACACAGCTCTTGAACGCCTGTCCGAAGTCTGCCAGTACTATCCCGTGGAGTTCTACAGTCTGGGGTTTTCGACGAACAGCACGCCTGGAAGAGTTTGACATCAGGATGATATCTGTTGACCTCAGTAACAAAGAGGATATGCTCGAGGTAGATTCATTGGCTGAGGAGATACTGGGTGAGAGCATTGAAGAAGAGGTGGCCTTTCGAGATGGAAAACGTTTTATAAATCGCATGGTCAGGACAAAACTTTCTCCAGAGCAACCGACAAACCAGAAAATGGAAAGCAAGAAGAAGGGCTCATTGTACTTATCATGTATCCCTTCGTCAACAACGCTCTGCCTGCGCGAGAAGAGTCTGTCGAAGCCATCCAACTCTGAGCTTACAGTAGATCTCCTATATTGCTGGACACCCTCGGAATCACTGATTGATGTAGCCAAACCAAAAGGATGTGTCTTCGTTGTTGGAAAGGTGACTGACCTCACTGGGGAGAGCAGGAAGTCTCATGTACAGATTGGAGACGAGGTGTGTGGTGTCGTCGCCTCTGGACGGGTTTCTTCTTCCCTTGCCATTCAAGTCAATAACATGTTCGTAAAACCAACCGGCCTGACAAAGGAACAAGCGGCTTACATCCCAGCGTGCCTAGCCATAGCTTCCTATGCTCTTCAAAGAGTAGCATCAGGAGAAGAAAATCAGTCACTACTGATACACGAAGCCAACCGTGGCCCTGGGCCAGCAGCAGTTGCCCTTGCAAAAACACTCGGACACAGAGCATTTTGCACCATTCCTGACACTTGCCAAACGTCTACAAAAGCCCTTCTTCTTGAGTTGGGTGCGGAAAGTGTGGTCCATCAAGGTTCCTTTTGCCTCAATGATGATTCTTTTCAGAGCTTCGACGCCGTTTTGTTTTTTTACCCACCTGCTCCAAATGCACTTCAAGAAAGTTGTCGTTCGCTCAAACGAGGAGGAAAAGTTGTAATCTTGAGTTCCGAGTTTACTGGCGATCTCGTATTTACAGCAACTACAAATGTCAGATATGAGAGAGAGGATATGGCAGACATACTCAGGTCTCCGCAGGTTTACGAAAAGCTCAGTTTAGCAAGTCTTGATTTGCTGAAAGGCAAAGAAGTCCTGGAAAAGCTTCTAGCAATGCAGCTGGTTTCTGAAGACTTGTCAACAGCAATTGAAGCCGTAGCCACTTCCTTCGACAAAACGTCATTACCACAACATCAAACAAACGCCTCCTCGAGCATTTCTTTTCAAATTCTCGCGTTTCCATTATCTGGAAAAAGAAGTGATCTCGACAAGATTCCTGTACTTCCAACTGGTTTAGATGAATGTGGCCTGAAAGAAAACAGAACGTACTTAGTGGCAGGAGGTATTCGAGGATATGGATTTGAAGTGGCTCGCTGGATGGCGGAGAATGGAGCAAAGTCTATTGGACTTCTTGGCCGTTCAAAGCCCTCAGATGCCAAATGTCAAGAAGTGCGAAAGCTAGAGGGAAGGACAGGCGCGAAGATACATATGTTCCAGGTAACCAGTGTGCCATTATCATACCAAAAAAGCTTTATTAGATAGACGTTCGCCACACACAGAATGAGGTTAACAAGGTTCAGTGTTAGATAAAGGGCAAGTTGCTTTGTTGAATCACAGTAAATGTGGAACCTTTAAGCAAGGTGATAAAAATTCCAAACAGCGTTTTATATTTTTGACCCTAACAGATTGACATTTCCAAACAAGAGCAAATGGCGACCTTTAAAGAGCAGCTTCAATCTCTTCCAAGTGTGGCTGGCATCGTGATCACTGCCATGATTCTTAGAGATGAGTATGTCAAAGATTTCACGTTTGAGGCCTTCGCCGAGTCCATGGGCCCTAAGATAAAAGGTAAGATTCCATAATGAGTTACTTTGTTCTCGCCGAAACTACCATAGTTCCTGGTCAACGGCTGACGAGGGTGATGCCTAGCAGTTGGTAGTTAAAGCCTCTGTATGAATTCCTCCATCAGCGTCCACCTTTCCATACCAATAAGGACTAATTAGGTCCGTTAATGGTTGGTTAGGCTCACCGCACAACAAGTCATTTTTCAAATTATTGTGCGTGGCTTTTAAAAATATAGAAAAACAATTCATTGAGGTATGCCTAGTGGATGTCCCCAACGAGTCCTTTTAGAGCCTCGACATATGTTTTTCAAAAAGCGCCACATTCTTAGTGACCACCTTTCCTTAAGCTCCTAAAAGTAAAGTTATGCAACGGAGACTAACTAGAATCATTATGGTAACAGTTTTCAATTTGTTTGCAAGGTTCCGTCTTACTTCACCAAATGAGCTTGGAAATGGATTTGGATTTCTTCGTCATGTTTTCTTCCATGACCTCGGTCTTCGGTAACCTGAAGCAATGCTGTTACTCAGCTTGCAATGCTTTTCAAGATTCTCTTGCCCAGTACCGAAGACATGTGCTCGGTCTACCCGGATTGGCGATAAACTGGGGACCAATCAGTGGAGCTGGTTTGATGGAACGAGAGTCTAATGTTGCTAAATTGATGAATTTGGGCGGACTTGGCTTTATACAAGCCAAAGATGGTATGCTATTTCTTTGCTAAGACCTAATAAACATTTTCCCGATATCTCAATATTCTCAAACGGTAAAAAGGGTTAAACGTCCAGTAAGGTGATACTAAAAATGTGGGTATTGACATGGCTAATGGAAGTAATATGTTTAATTGTTTTCGGATTAAAATTTCGTGTACAAGAGTTAATAGTCGAGCTTGTAGTTAGAAGGGCCGTCTTATAACAGAGACCTGTTGCGAAAGGACGTAAAGGACGACAAACGTGCCATGAATTATTTTTAAGAATACTTATGTCCTGGAAAATCCATCCATCCGCCGTCATTGGTCACAGTTTAGGAGAATTTGCAGCTGCCTGTGTTGCTGGGATCATAACAGTCAAAGAAGCTGTTCAGCTGGTGCTGGCTCGCTCAACTCTGCAAGAAAAATCCCCTAATAATGGTGGTATGGCGGCTCTAGGCATGTCTGCGGAAGACGCCACAGCATTACTGATGGACCTGAAGTTAAGTAGTACACTTGACATTGCTGCAGTTAATGATGCAAAAAGTGTCACAGTTTCTGGGGAAGCCCAGTCAATCGAAGCTTTGGGTCAACACCTAAAAATGCACGCCAAAGACACCTTCTGGCGCGTTCTTGGAACAAAACGTGCATTTCACAGCACGCATATGGAACCCATCAGAAAGCCTTTTCAAGCAACTATGAAACGCATCAAGCTAAACCCCCAATTGTCGAAAATTCCTGTTTACTCTACCGTTGAGGGTGACGTTCTCCCAGGTCAGAAGTTTAACGGCGATTATTGGTGGCGCAATATTCGCTGTCCAGTCCAGTTTTATCCCGCGATGAAGCACCTGATACACGATGGTTACAAGCAGATTATTGAGATCAGCACGCAGCCCATTTTAGCCCACTATGTGAAACAGATTGCTAGTCAAGAGGATCTTAGTAAGCAAGAAACTCCAGTTGTCATCGCAACTCTTCCTCGCAAGAGAGTACCTGTTAAAGACCAACACCGATGCTTTCTTCAGAACACAGTTTGTAGACTGTATACAATGGGATTGCCCATAGATTGGTCTTTAGTACAGAAGAATCCATCAGCCAGGTTTGTCCGTTCAGTTCACTACCCATGGCTTGAAAGGAATTTTTGGCTCAGGGACAATCGGCTTCAAACCATAATTCCTCCAATTGGTGCTGAGGAAACCACAAAGAAGCTTGCCCATCCCTTTCTAGCACAAGTGAAGATGACCGAGCCGTATTCAGGCCTTCACTGCTGGGAAACTGAGATTGACCTCCATCGTTTCCCTCTTCTAAAGGATCATGCTTTTATTCAGGGAGGCGCTGTGATGCCTGGAACTGGCTACGTGGAAATGGCCTTTGCTATGGTGAAGGACAAATTCGTAGATGTTGCTTGCTTGGAACTTACTGATGTGAAGCTCTTGAATCTTCTTACCCTTCCCGAAACACAGGTAGGTAACATTATGTGCGTAAACTTGAAAGAGTGTGTCGAATTTCAACTTTTTTCTCGCAAGATTTAAATACTACATATGATGTACAATAATTGCCTAAATTTTCTCTATGAACTTTCAGGTTCGTTACTTACGATTACGTTTCCAAAAGAAGGACAAAATTGACAAGGCTCAGTTCTACATTACAAGCTTACAGGATGACCAGTCAGAGATTGCTCTGAGCAGTGGGAACATTTCATTGGATCTGCTGCGTAGACGCGAGAATTTTGAAGCTAAAGGTATTACTATAGCTGAAACGTTTTCGAATACGTTGATAAACCAGTCTTAAAATTCTGATTATTGCTATTGCTGTTGCTGTTGTTGTTGTTGTTGTTGTTGTTGTTGTTGTTGTTCTTATCTTTTACTTGTTGTTGGCCACAAACCATTTTAAAAAGACTACAACACGATAACATCAAATTTAATTTTCTCGTTAATTATACTGTTGGAAAATGAAAACCTGTTAAAACCCATATAACTATTTACACCACTTGACAGGATAATCATCATACATTGAAATTCTGCTCAAAGCGTTCAAGATATTTCTAAATAGTTTAGTCATATATTAAATCTTTTCTTCATTTTTAATGTACGTAGCCTTTGACCAAATTGGTCCAGCTTTAGAGGAGCGGATGACAAATATGACGAAAATGACAACAGAGCGCTTCAGAGAAATATCCGAAAAGCTTGGGTTTAACTATGGACCCACGTTCTCCCTCATTAAAGAAATATGGCAGCGCGATAACGAGGGACTCTGCTTGATTGACATCAGTGGACTACCGGCTATTCAAGCAGAAGCTGAAAGTTATGTTGTCCATCCCTGCATTTTAGACGCCTGCCTTCAATCCTGTTTTATTCCCATTGGGGACTTTGTAACTGAAGATACCTCCTTTGTGCCAGTGGGTTTCAAGAGCATTACGTTAAGGGACGTGCCGTCTACCCAACAGCTGTACTGCCACGTGACCGCGGATATGACCCTAGTTGGAAAATTTGACATTACCGTCATGAGTCCATCCGGTAAAGTGTTACTCACAATAAATGACTTTCGTACTGCAGAGCTGACTAGCACAGAACGTCGATTTACCTTTGATGACCTAACCTTTGAAGAAGAGTGGATGGAGGATGTTTTACAAAGGCAGAAGGAAACCACCCGAAATCCTACTTGCATTGTGCTGAAAGATTCCTCCGTCTTTTCAGATGCCTTAATCGCGCGACTTCAGGCAGCCAAAGTCAATTTTGTCACAGTTGATCTGCCAAAAGATAGATGTTTCAACATCGAGGCAGAGGAAGCAATCAGAGCAGCCTTTTCGGGCATACCACCTGACCAATTATCCAATCTTAGGCTCGTGAACACGTGGCCTGTGGAAACGAACATCCTGCCGGACACATTCGATGTGATCGATCAAGGTCAACGCCTCGCCCTCGACAGTTCTGCCTTCTTGCTCAAACTGCTGATAGAGAAGGAGTTGCTGAGTCCTCGACTTTTCTTTGTCACCGAACGTACACAGCTGTTAAACGCCTGTCCGAAGTCTGCCTGTACTATCCCGTGGAGTTCTTCAGTCTGGGGATTTCGACGAACAGCACGAGGCTTCGATGATGATTCTTTTCAAAGCTTCGACGCCGTTTTATTTTTTTACCCACCTGCTCCAAATGCTCTTCAAGAAAGTTGTCGTTCTCTCAAACGAGGAGGAAAAGTTCTAATCTTGAGTTCCGAGTTTACTGGCGATCTCGTATTTACAGCAGCTACAAATGTCAGATATGAGAGAGAAGACATGACAGACATTCTCAAGTCTCCGCAGGTTTACGAAAAGCTCAGTTTAGCAAGTCTTGATTTGTTGGAAGGCAACGAAGTCCTGGAAAGGCTTCTAGCAGTGCAGATAGTTTCTATAGACTTGGCAACAGCAATTAAAGTCGTAAACACTTCCTTCGACAAACAATCATCTCCACAACATGAAATAAAAGCCTCCTCAAGTATTTCCTTTCAAATTCACGCGTTTTCATCGTCTGGAGAAAGTAGTGATATAGACAAGATTCCTGTTCTTCCATGTGGTTTAGATGAATGTGGCCTGAAAGATGACAGAACGTACTTGGTGGCAGGGGGGATTCGAGGATATGGATTTGAAGTGGCCTGCTGGATGGTGGAGAATGGAGCAAAGTCTATTGGACTTCTTGGCCGTTCAAAGCCCTCCGATGCCAAATGTGAAGAAGTAAGAAAGATAGAGAGGAGGACCGGCGCAAAGATACATATGTTCCAGGTAACCTGGGGAGCAGGGGTGGCGCAGTGGTGAGAGCGCTTACCTCCCACCAATGTGACTCGGGTTCAAATCCTGGACCCGATGTCATTAGTGGGTTGAGTTTGTTGTTGGTTCTCGTCCTTGCTCTTGTTTTTTTCTCCGGGTTCTCTGGTTTTCCCCCCTCCACAAGAATCAACATTTCTAAATTCCAATTCGATCGGTAATTCGAGGGCCACGGGTTTGTCAGTCGTTAAAACTGTTGTGTGTTACCCTCGTTAAACAAAGTTAATTTATTTTTTATTTAATCAGTATTTCATTATCACACCCAAAAACCTTTATTTGTTAGACGTTCACCACGCGCAAAACGAGGCTAACAAGTTTGAATGTTAGCGAAAGGCAAGCTGCTTTGTTGAATCACAGGCAATGTGGCTTTCATAAACTCAGGTGTAAAACTTAGACACCTTCACGCAAGGTGATGAAATTCCAAACAGTGTTTTATATTTTTGTTTCTAACAGATTGACATTTCCAACCAAGAGCAAATGGCGTTCCTTAAAGAACGCCTTCAATCTCTTCCAAGTGTGGCTGGTATCGTGATCACTGCCATGGTTCTAAGAGATGAGTATGTCAAAGATTTCACGTTTGAGGGCTTCACTGATTCCATGGGTCCTAAGATAAAAGGTAAGATTCCATAATGAGTTACTGTATTCTCTTATATCTCTATTAGCGTCCACCTTTCTATTCTAATAAGCAGTCATCAAGTTCGTGAGTGGTTGGTTAGGCTCACCGCTTAACAAGTCCGTTTTCAAACTATTTTGGGTGCCCTTTACAAGTAAAGAAGAACGTTTCATTGAGGTATGCCTACTGGATGTCCTTAATGAGTCCTTTTAGAGCCTCGACAAATGTTTTTCAAAATGCGCCACATTCTTAGTGAGCGCCTTTTGTTGAGCTCTTAAAAGTTACGTTATGCAGCGGGGACTACTAGAATCATTATGGTAACAGTTTTCGATTTGTTGCAAGGTTCCTTCTTACTTCACCAAATGAGCTTGGAAATGGATCTGGATTTCTTCATCATGTTTTCATCCATGGCCTCGGTCTTCGGTAACGCGAAGCAATGCTCTTACTCGGCTTGCAATGCTTTTCAAGATTCTCTTGCCCAGTACCGAAGACAGGTGCTCGGTCTACCCGGATTGGCGATAAACTGGGGACCAATCAGTGGAGCTGGTGTGATGGAACGAGATTCCAAAGTGGCCAAATTGATGAGCATAGGGGGACTTGGCTTTATCCATGCCAGAGATGGTACGATATTTCTTCACTAAGACCTAATAAACATTATCACGATATCTCAATATTCTCAAACGGGCTGCAAAAAGGGTTAACCTTCCGTTAAGGTGACACTAAATAATAATGTGGGTATTGAAATGGCCAATAGAAATAATATGTTTATCTGTATTCGGATCAAAATTTCAAATACAAAAATTAATAGCCGAAGCTGTCGCTAGACGGGTTGTCTTAATTGCACGGCCCTGTTGTTCTCGTCTTCTGAGCATTAGCGGGTATGAGAACTCCGCTAAATACTGAAGGACGAAAAGCGTGCTATGGATTGCTTTTAAAACTGTTTGGTAGCAAAGCGTCGTTGCAACCTATATTACCACACGTTTTTGCCCCAGAGTGATTGTCTGATTAGCGCAGTCATGCAAAAGACTGTTCTCAAAGTCTGGCATTTTCATAACATGAACGATAGTAAGAAAGGCAGTCGTATTCAGACTAAGTCACCATTCTTTTTCTTATTTTCAAGATGGCTAATATTACTCAGGTTGTCGGAGCGTACGTCTTTCTCAAGAATACTTTCACTCAATCCCACTACAAGGACTTCTAGTTTGGTGTTCAAACCGTATACGTTATATTAAAGTTGTACCTTCTAAATTCTGAAATATTTACACAGGAGTCAAACACATGGCCAAAGTTCTTACTGAGGAACCGAGCCGCTTTCAAATTACCCTGTGTGGTGTGGACTGGCCTCGCTGCATGAGAAGTCTTGTCGGGCTAAAGAAGACGCCCAGAATGTCGCTGATCAAAGCTGAAATTAAGGATTCTGACATTCAGACGCATTCGTCAGATTCCCTGGCGCAAAACATCACGCTAGAGAAAGATGAAGAAAAAAGACGCGAACTGGTCATGGAATACGTAGGCGTACTAATGACTAAATGGGCAGGAATGCCTTCGGGTTCTGAGGTAGATCTCAACAAGAGCTTGTACAACTATGGTCTCGACTCAGCTGGGGCACTGACCTTGAAAATGCAGTTTGAAGCCAATTTGCAAGTTGCTTTTGAGGTGTGTTGCAATAACACTCACTGGATGATTAATGTCTATATTTCTGCTATATGATCAGTGAGGCGTGGGAAAATATATCAACTTACCAACTGATTGGTTTAAGGAGGACTTCAGTTCTCGGGTTTACCTATCTGAGTTGCCATTAGCAGAGTAACCACTTCCAATTCACCTTCGGAATTTTCGTACTAACCTTTTTTGCACAAATTGACGAGATACAAACGGTGCTCTTGTTTCAGATTTTCTACTTTATGCAGCCTGATACGACCGTACTTAAAATTGCAAAAGACGTCATGGCCAAGCTTGGCGGAGAAGCACCTGGTGAACAACTTCAAAATAACGTCAACCTAGAAAATGAGCCTGCGCAAACACAGCCTGCACTGACCGACGCATCCCGATCTGCTGTCATGTCAGAGAGTCAGATTCAAGTTGTACCGCTGTACACTCCTGCGGGCGCAGCTATCAAGTTCTTCTGTGTACATCCGTCACACCATTATGCGTTAAATCTGGCAGCGATTTCTACGGGATTTGAAGGCCAGGTGACTCCCAACTAATATGTATTGACGTTATTTCTATTTCGTTCAAGTCTCATATTCATCATTCTACTTCTACTTGTCTCCCTACGTCTCGTATATACCGAAAGCAACGATACCCCCTACGTAGTTGGCTCTTGTACATTGTACTTTGTTTCCGCACAAGAAAAGCTCCAGCTTCCTGTTCCATTTTTTCCACTCAATACTCGATCTACCAATAAAACCTTCGTTTTAACACTCGAATGACGTACATGGTGTGCAACCTTATTTAATCAGTTCTTAAGTATTTAAAAGGGTATTAACTCTAACAGCCACTTCTAAGTGAGGTATGTTGACTGACAGTGAAGGTTAGTTTTATACCATTGTAACTTGCCAGGCAAACGCTGCACTATCGGCTCTTCAAACAACGAATTGCAATTGGCCCACATGTGATACACGTTTTAGCTACCTGAAAGCAGCCAATAAAAATGATTTGGAGCAAAGTGGACCACACTTTGGAAGAAATTGGCCAAAGGGTGATTTCCGTTAACCCGACAGTGTCACGTTCAGCTATTTGTTTTATGTGTCATCACCAATCCTCATTGCCCCCAGTGGGGCATGGGGCCGCTTGTTTTATGTGTGTGTGTAATTTTTACAATAACTGCAGAAATTCGCGCGTGCTCATTGGCTATTTTTCATTGTGGATAAGAAGAACGACTCGTGAATTTATAATTTATGAGATGTTGACGCGACAAGCGAGAGCGGACAATTTGACGAATTTTTTATCGTAAAAAACAAATTGACATCAGTTTTTCAATCGTCTGCCCTGTTATTGACAATGAATTTCGTCATAATATTGTCAAAGTAGCCTGCGGATCCAGTCGGCTATCGCGTCGTGGATCCACAGCTATTTTAACAATGTTAATGCGAAATTCATGATCAATAACAGGACAGACGCATGAAAAACTGACGTCAATTTGTTAAATGGACATTTTTCCTTACCCCATATTAGGATTTGGTATCCTTCTATGCACTGGGCTATACTGACCCAACAGCAGTGAGTAGGGACTGGGGTGGAGTCCGTGAACTTGCTGCACATTACGTTCAACTGATCAGCGAGGAGCAGCGTCATGGACCGTACTTTCTTGGCGGATATTCCTACGGTGGGCTTGTTGCCTACGAAATGGCGTCGTTGTTGACAGAGCAGAACCAGAGGGTGGAGTTTGTAGCCATGATTGACACATTTCCTTGGTATCCGCGCTCGCGGACTGTCAGCAATAGACTGGTTTCCATGGTTGCTGATCAACAATTTCAACGTCGACAGGTTCAGGTTCGTGGGAAAGTGGTCATAGCAAAACTAAGATAGTGATTACCTGGCTAATTCAATATCATCCTGTAAGGGAAACTAACTTATCGAAGAACAAAATCCAACTGAGTAACAAAATTGAACACTTCCTCTTAGGTTGCTGGTAATAATACGTTAGAATAAGAAAGAGAAAAATAGTTATATGGTTATACATAAATGGCAAGGAAGTTCATAGGTACCGTCTGAAGGCTACGGAACCCATGATCCCTGCAATACCGGTGCGTACTTCCGGGTAGCAACTGAGCTGTGAAGCCTTGTTACCTTGTGCGCATTATCAACGCTTCGTACCTCAGTTGGGTAGAGCAACGCGCCGGTGTTTCGAATCCACCAAACCTTTTCGTTTTATGTATCAACCGCAGTTCACATGTGTCTTATATACATTCGCCACGTCATCCAGTAAGCTAGCGCTATTTCCTATTGTTTAAGGTTAATAAAAACGTTTGCATATATGCCAATAATCGATGAGCAAATAAAAATTAATAGATTCGTTGTTTTCCTGACAGCTTTCTTTTGAGAACTTTCTGACAAAACTGGCCGTAGATTCTTTAAAGATGGAGGCTGACGAATTCAAAACCTTGAGGGAGATGCACACTCAAGACTGGGTCATAGATGAACTGCAGAGACGAAGCGTTGAGAAGGGTTTCGCTAACTACAATTTGAGGGCACTCAGGGAAGCTCTTCTAAAAAACCAGATCGTTTCTTTTAGAACATTCAAAGAATGGCAGCCTGCTGAGGTATGGGACAATTGATTTGTATTGATTCAACCCAATATAACGGAGTCGTGTAAGGAACAACTAATACAATTAACGCCTTGACGCAGAACTTCCAACAGTGTAAGACATAGACGTAACCATTTTTCTTGGACAATTCTTTTCCACGGGGAAAAGACGCAATGCGGTTAAC